ATGTAAAACAACATTTATTAATAAATTTAACGTTAAAGTTAAGTTGATAGTTAGTAAAAAAATTTACTTTTTTATTTTATTGATTAAAATTTAATTTTATAAAAAATTAATAATAAAATAATTTCTTATAAATTTATTAATCATAAATGATGTACCTTTAACATAATAAAAAAAGAATTCCTGTGCACGGCAACAGGTGACAGAGTAACTTTTTTTTTTTTAAAAAAAAAAAAAGGGAAGAAGAAGTTGATACTTGATTTAGATAAAATGAATTGAAATATTAAACGCTAATAAAAATATTTTCAATTTTGGCTTTGTAATGGTATTGTGGAGCTGCATCATACATGTACACCCCTGTTACATCCATGCATTCATCATGAGTGTCATATGACCTCATCCCATGGAAACAACTAGTTCAAGATGCGAAGCATAAGAGTCTAACACACTGCAGACTCTGTCATTGCCAGCCGCCGAAATTGTTTGTAAATGGATAACCCCTTTGATTCTGTTTTTTAGTCAATTCCATAACCGACCGTCTGCCTTTTCCAGTCTATATATACGTGCATAGCTGCACACGCTTTCCATGGCCGTGTGTTCCTTTACATCATTCATACAAGTTCTCCTGTCAGCTTTCTTCTCCAATCCATTGTATTTTGTTTCTGTTCTCACCACTGCACAAATTAGTAATTAATCCTGTGTGTTCATCATCTTGTTCTCCTCTTTAAACCGCCTACTTTTGTCAAGTTCATCAATTTATTGTACATTTCCATCTCATCAATTTATTGTACATTTCCATCTCTGTTTCCTATTTTCAATCGGTATATCGTAAATTTAGCCTTTGATTTAGGAAGATTCCAGATTTCAAAACTGTATAAATCTCCAACTTCCATTTTCCTCTGTTCTAATTTTGCTCTGTTTTTGCCCTTTTTTCTCTGTTCTCATGGCGCCCCCGAATGATCCTGCTAATCCAGTCCTCAAACGCAGCCGGTCGGGTAGTTTAGAGAAGTGTTTTGATCTGTCCGATGGGAAGTTCAGTGTCAGAGGTTTTCCCTTGCTGTCTGAAGTTCCGACTAATGTCACTTTCTCACCCTTCCCGTCCGTCCGTAAATCCTCGAACGCTCCACTTCCCCTGCTCCAGCAAGTCCAATCTCTGTGTCACAGAGGTGGGTTTCTGGGATTCACCAAAGACACACCCTCTGACAGAATCATGAACTCTCTGGGTGGGTTTACCAATAGGAACTTTCTGAGCATCTTTAGGTTCAAAACATGGTGGTCTACCCAATGGGTAGGAAAATCTGGATCTGATTTGCAAATGGAAACCCAATGGGTAGTCTTAGATGTCCCTGAAATCAAATCCTATGTCATCATCATCCCTGTAATTGAAGGTGGGTTTAGGTCTGCTTTTTTCCCTGGAGAAAACGGCCATGTCATGATTTGTGCTGAAAGCGGGTCGAGCCGGGTCATGGCGTCGAGTTTTAAATCAATAGCGTATGTTCATGTTTCTGATAACCCTTTCAATTTGATGAAAGAAGCGTTTAGTGCTGTTAGGGTTCATCTGAATACCTTCAAGCTTTTGGAAGAGAAAAATGTTCCTTCTCTTGTAGACAAATTTGGTTGGTGCACTTGGGATGCGTTTTATTTGACCGTTGAGCCTGCTGGTGTGTGGCAGGGAGTGAAGGAGTTCACCGACGGCGGTGTTTCGCCAAGGTTCGTTATCATTGACGATGGATGGCAGAGTATCAACCGAGATGACGAGAACCCGAATGAGGACTCCAAAAACCTCGTTCTGGGTGGGGAGCAGATGACCGCAAGACTTTACCGGCTGGACGAGGGGGAGAAATTTAGAAAATACAGAGGAGGTTCATTCCTGACTTCCGACGCTCCTCCGTTCAATTCTCAAAAACCAAAGATGCTGATCAGCAAGTGGATTGAGCTTGAACGCGCCGGGAAGGACCTCAACAAGGCAATCAAATTGGGGACAACTGATGTTTCAAACTTCGAATTGAAAATTCAGAAGCTGAAACGAGAATTGGATGAGATATTCGAGAAACAAGAAAGCGGTGGACTTTCCTGCGGAAGCTGTGCCTGCAAGTCGGATAGTTCCGGCATGAAGGCTTTTACACAGGATTTAAGGACCAAGTTCAAAGGTTTGGATGATATTTGGGTGTGGCACGCCCTCTGCGGCGCTTGGGGCGGTGTTCGGCCTGGAAGCACCCATTTGGACTCCAAAATTGTCCCTTGCAATGTCTCCCCTGGACTTAACGGCACGATGCAAGATCTTGCCGTCGATAAAATTGTCGAAGCCGGTATCGGTCTTGTCCATCCTGATCAAGCCGGTGATTTCTATGACTCTATGCATTCCCACCTTGCCAAATCTGGTGTTACAGGTGTTAAAGTCGATGTCATTCAGGTAAGGATATAAATTTTCATTATTTTTTTATTTTATGTTTTTATATTTTAACTTTTAATAACTTCACTTTTTTTCTTCTTTTTTTTTTTCCAATTTAGACCCTTGAGTATGTTTCTGAAGATTATGGAGGCAGAGTTGAACTTGCAAAGGCTTATTACGATGGACTGTCAAAATCCCTGGAAAAGAACTTTAAAGGAACTGGAATCATCTCCAGCATGCAACAGTGTAATGACTTTTTCTTCCTTGGAACAAAGCAGATATCAATGGGCCGAGTTGGTAAGAAATTAACCCAATCCCTTTTTTTTAGAAAAAGAATTTACCATGGAAATTTTTTTGTATAATAACATAAGTATTTTGGCTTTAAACAACTAATTTCACATATATCAGCAAACCGCTATCCTCCATGGAAATTAAGGACTTAGTGTTGATTATTTTTTTGTGCAGGTGATGATTTCTGGTTCCAGGATCCAAATGGGGATCCCATGGGAGTGTACTGGCTACAGGGGGTTCACATGATCCACTGTGCCTATAACAGCTTATGGATGAGTCAGATTATCCAACCTGACTGGGACATGTTCCAGTCCGACCACTGCTGTGCCAAGTTCCATGCCGGATCACGTGCCATCTGTGGCGGCCCTGTCTACCTGAGTGACTCACTCGGCGGCCATGACTTCAAACTCATTAAGAAGCTTGTGTTCCCTGACGGTACCATTCCCAAATGCCAGCGTTTCGCCCTCCCCACCAGAGACTGTCTTTTCGTCAATCCTCTGTTTGACAAAAAGTCCCTCCTCAAAATTTGGAACTTCAATAAGGTAGTACACTTTAATCCGCATTGTAATTTAATTAATTTGATTTTTATGTTTGAAACTAAGTGTTTCAATTTGGTTTGTGTAGCATGGAGGTGTAGTTGGAGCATTCAACTGCCAAGGAGCAGGGTGGGATCCAAAGGAGCAGAGGATCTTGGGTCGTCCGGAGTGCTACAAGGCAATTGCCGGCACTGTTCATCTGACGGACATTGAATGGGACCAGAGCAAGGAAGCCGCTCCGATGGGCGAGGCAGGGGAGTTCCTGGTCTACCTCAACCAGGCGGAGAAACTTCTCCTGACAACCCGCAAATCTGACCCAATTGAAATCACCATCCAGCCATCTTCCTTTGAGCTATTCAACTTTGTGCCCGTCCAGAAGCTCGGCCGCATGGCAAAGTTTGCTCCTGTTGGTCTGACCAACATGTTCAACAATGTCGGAACAATTCAAGAAGTGAATTATGCTGTGTCCGGAGCTGAGACAAGTGCCAAGATTAAGGTGAAAGGTGGAGGGAATTTCTTGGCCTATTCAAGTGTGTCTCCAAAGAAATGCTACTTGAATGATGCTGAGGCAGAATTTGAGTGGGTGGCTGATGGCAAACTTATCTTGAAAGTTCCATGGATTGAAGAAGCTGGTGGTATTTCAGACGTGGCTTTTCTTTATTAGAATTAACTATGATTTGATTTACTATTGTTAATGATGTTTTCTTTTTTTAAGATTGTTGCCATGAGCCATGGCATCTAAGTGTTTATGGCTTTGTAATTGTTGAAATGTTTGGGAAGATTTGTATCCATCCACCTATTTAATTGTTAATTGAAATGGATTTTGTTTTCCTTTGTAATCGTTTCCCCTTTGTATGTTGGTTTTCCAAAAATCAAATTTTAATGCTTTATGAGGAAAATTAGGTGGAAGCTTCCTTAAGATGAAATGAAGTATCTGGAGTTCAAATTAAAGTGAGATGACATTCTGGAACAATTTCATGCAAAAGCGCTCACTAGAATAATCTGCCAAACCAGACGGTGCTTGTCCTCCTTTTTGTCTTTGATTAATTTGCTTGTAGCGTCCACCCCACACAAGTGGCACTAATTTTCATTTTGGGATTGCGACAGAGAAAAATTGTTTTTCATATTAACATGAGAGAAAAAAAAAAGTACAATAATGCTTGTTATT